TTTCGACACATTTACAGATTTTACGATTGCTTAACAAAACAATATCAACTAACTCTCTGTAACTGATATTGAAAGCTTCCATGTTGCAAGACAAAAATTAAACACAATGAAAAGATAAAAGTCAAACACTACAATTATACACTATAAATGAGAGTTAAAAGTCAAACACTATAACACACTATAAACAAAAGTTAAAAGTCAAACTCTATAACACACTATATTACACACTATAAATGAGAGTTAAAAGTCAAACACTATAACACATTATAAACAAGAGTTAAAAGTCAAACTCTATAACACACTATATTACACACTATAAACGAAACTAAAAAGTAAAAGTATTTGCTGGAAACACGAGTAATTTTCTACGAGATGATTTCTTTGACGATTTTGCGAGTGCTTTACCAAACATTTACTTTGACTGGTAAATGAGTAGTGTCCGATGATTTCGGAGCCCGTTTCCTCCTCAGCTCGAACCTCCTCCGACACGCGATTTTAGGGGTGTCAACCGATTTTCGCGTTGACTTTTCGGTTCGATCAATTGGCCATCGACTTGGGGAAGGAGGATCCATTTTCAGGACCCGTTTGGGCGGAAAAACTCCTCCCTCACATTCGAACATGGTGGAGGAAGAGTCCCAGGTCACCCAGGACGAGGGTGTCGAGGTATCCTCCCCAAGTTGAAGGCCGCGTTAATTTGCCAAGGAAAAAACGGGACTCCGGATTAAGACGCGACGAGTTGCTGCACGTGTTTGCAGCTGTTTTATGGCTATATTGTTCCACAAGTTGGCGATGGTCGTTGCCGGTCGGCCGATGTTGACCTCGAAGATCCTACCACCCGCGGAACAATATAGCCCTTCGCTAGTCAATACGGGCCTAGCGCTTTCGTTTGACAAAGCGCTCAATTATTTTACGACGAAATTTGCCAGATGTGGCATATTCGAAGACTTTTGCGACGAAGTCACGGTTCCGCATCTGGCAACATAAAAGAGCGGAAAACCCCCAGCTGACCGAACGGAACAAAAGTCAAACACTATAATTACACACTATGAACGAATGTTAAAGATAAAATATAATTTTCTGTCTTTGAATTTTCCGATGCTGCATGTACGTTACGGTTCATTTCACTGACTGATCTGCTAATGCTGGAACTCTCTGACATCTACCATGTTGTTCCGTAGCGTACCCGCGGTTCACTCGTAAACTTAACGAATTATTTATTTTTTATTTTTATTTTTTTTTCGTAAGGTCTCTTGGGTGGCCAAGAATTTATACAAAGGGCCGTATCCAAAATGCAAACTGCTGGCACGTTTATGACACGCAAGCCAGTACAGCCGTTTTTGAGAATCTATTTATTTTTTAGTCCTCTGAATTGTATCTGTTAGAATTTTGTCGTCCTCAACGGCTAATTGCAGGCATCATAAATGTGAATTTCCAAAGGGCCCAGAGACTGAACCTAATGGCCATTGACCAGGTCATGTCCAGGGGCCCAAGCCTGGCGGAAATTCCACCACATTGCAAAATCATCTTTGTCTTGCCTTCCACCCCCATTGGTACTGCTTACTCCGCACGGGCCGCTTTTCAGGCGCGCGGAATAGGTGGTAAAAATTACCAATCAGGTGACTAGACCTGACTAGACGGAATCATATACATTTAAATGTATTATTCTCTACGAAAAGGTATTAACATATTTATGTCGAAAAACTATTACTTTCGGAGACTTTTGAATATTAATATTAAGTCATTAAATTAAAACTAATGATCTCCTGATATAAATATGTTAGTACTTTTTTGTAGAAAATAACACATACAATAAAATAATAAGTTAAAAAATATATGACTCTATTTAAGACAATATCAATGACCTAAAATGAAAGCGAGATATTTCAGACATTGATCAACGTTACAGAAAAAATGCTCCCAATACCAAAATCGCAGATTTACGCAGCTGAAAAATGTTTGGATATAAACTTAAAAATATAGTGCACAATTAGCATTAAGTCTCATTTTGACGCTAGCTGACGCAAAAAAGTTATGTCTAATTAAACTTTAATTCTATTCTTAAAAATACCGTTTTGTTCAACATATGTCCTATTGAAATAAATAAGATTGTCATTAACTTTATTCATGTAATTTACTTGTTTATTGTCAACATAATCAAATTACATAATTGTATTTTGTCTTAAATTGTTCAGATACTTGTAACTGCGTTTACTTGTAGGTGCACTATTAGTCCAAAATTACCGATTCCCTATTTCCTAACTTTCATGTTATAATATCTTTGTAATCAGGTGGGTATTTACAGAAATCTTTGTTGATTCTCATACTTCAATCATCTTCATCTGAAATTATAATAGACAGAACCTGGATATACAACCTTCAAAAATCGACTTTTTTCCTCGCTTGAACCACTGTGCGCCGCTGTGTCTGCAACAATGGTGACAGGCGGCGGATACAATCAGCTGGAGGAACTGTTGCCCGGTATAAATGTATCCTGCATGTCGAGAAGAATTTATAAGAAATGTCAGAATGACATAATCGATGCATTCGAAGTGGCCGCACAACGTGAAATGGAAGATGCTGCGAAAGAGGAAAGGGAACTAGCCATAGCAAGAGGCGACGTATTACCAGGGTGTAATATACCGTGGATCGCAGTAGTCGCAGATGGAAGTTGGATGAAACGGTCATACCGCGGAGGAGATTATAATTCTCTCTCTGGCGTAGGAGTCATCGTGGGTTATAACACCCAGAAAGTGCTACACGCAAACGTGAAGAATAAATTTTGCATGATTTGCCAAACGGCGGCGAAAAAAAAGGAAGAAGCGCACGAGCATCGGTGCTTTAAAAACTGGGGTCGTAATCAGAGTTCGACTGGCATGGAAAGTGCTGCTATAATCGAAGGTTTTAAATGCAGTATAGAAATGCGTGGCCTTGTTTACTCCATACTAGTTGCCGATGGCGATAGCAGTGTGTACAAAAAGATATTGGACAATGATCCATATAAAGAGTATATGGTGCAAGTACGAAAAATAGAATGCACCAATCACCTGCTACGGAATTTCAGTAGAAAAATTAATGACATCGGAGCAAAAGGCAGATGCAAAGAGCTAAGAGCTGTCGTAAAGGCTAATGCTCTCCGCCTGCGTACTGCTGTAAAGAAAGCAGCAGAATACCGGTTCAAAGAAAAATTAAGACTCGTAGATCAAATAAAAAATTTAAAAGAAGACATGAAAAATGTACCGAGTCACGTTTTCGGAGAACACAAGGAGTGTCAGAGATTAGCATACTTCTGCAAGAAATACTCTGACTCAAATATTGTGAACTACGTTCCACAATTGATGCAAGCTGGTATTTTTCAAAATATACAAGAAGCGATGCAACCACTTTTCGCCCAAGCCGAAAGTTTGCTGTACTCTCTAAACAATAATGCTGTTGAGAGTTTTAATAATATCGTCGCCAAATTTATCGGAGGCAAAAGGATAAATTTTGGACGAAGAGGTTCCTATCAAGGTAGAGTCTCCGCTGCTGTCGTACAATTTAATACGAAAGAGGCATTCAGCAAAGTGAGCACGGCAATGAATAAACAGCCGACAGCCATCGCAAAAAGGATGGAAGAACGTCGCAAGCATGCAGCGAAAATGGCAAGAAAATATAAACAAGAAGCGAAAGCATCCTCCTTCCGAAACGAGAAACAATCGTGCGATCAGGATTACGGCCCCAGTGCAGAGAAGCCAGATATGGACGAAGCAGTATACTTTTCGGAGTGTCAAAGGCACTTGGCTATACTGCATGAGTGGCAAACGATGCGATGCCAGATTGAAGCAGAAACTCGCGATCAAGCAAACAGCGAGAAATGGATAGCTTATAGGAAGAAATTATTAACCGCATCCAATTTCGGCAAGGTATGCCGATTACGAAAGGAAACACCACGGGCAAATACGTTGAAAAGTATAATGTACCCGCAACTTCAACACTTGCATTCAGTGCAATACGGAAGAGAGAATGAGGCAGAGGCGTTGAAACAATTGGAAGAAGAATTAGGAAAACATATTGTCCCGTGCGGCCTGTTTATCGATGCCGCTCTGCCTTATTTAGGTGCAACTCCTGACGGTGTTGTGAGCGACGATACCATCGTCGAAGTTAAATGTCCCGCATCGGCGAAAGATTTATCGCCTGCCGAAGCAGTACAGCAAATTCCTGCAATACGGCGTATTTTCCGGGATGGTGAAATGAATAAAAATCACCATTATTATTATCAAGTGCAAGGACAATTGCACATAACAAATAGACAAACAGCTTTATTCTGTTTGTGGACGCCCAAAGGAATGACAATTACAACAGTACCGAGAAACGATGCATTCTGGGCAACAGAAATGGAGGAAAAACTGAGGAAGTTCTATGAAGACTGCATGTTGCCAGAGATCATAGACAGTAGATTTAATAGACACCAGCCAATCAGAGAACCTCCGCATATAAAAACAAGAGGAGCATGTACCACTAAATAATAAAGTACATGTTATAACGATGAATGACAACATCGAAGCAGCACCGGCGAGTGCATTCAGCGGATATGAAGAGCTGTCACATAAGCAATTGCAATTACAATATACCATTGCACCGGCGAGTCCATTCAATGGATAGGAGAAGCTGTTGAAAAAGGAATGTAAGTAAGATGTATGTGAAGGACACAGCGTAAAGGGGAACGTCTATGAGGGGGGTGGTGGTGGGTCTCTTTACATTCTTCTAATAATGTATAGTTTCACCTATTTTTTCAGCTACAAAATTGTAAGTATAGCACTGATACTTTTCTTATGCAAATAATTGGATCAATTGAATTTCTCTTTCAGCTATGAATTTGTGACATTTATTTCTGGTAAGCAGTATTACAGGCAAAAATCACCATGCTCCCTCGGCCACCACGTCGGTGGCGAGGGGATTCATTGACGGGCCGCCCCTGGGGGCTGCAGGTGCTCAGTGCGAGGGGCCCGAGCACCGAAGGTAGCCCCGGTGCCGCGGGCGTCGGGTGACCTGGCGTCCGCGGCGGAGGAATCAGAGGGGGAGGGACATGTCATCCTTCCCCCCGGGATGAGCCTCGACAGGCAAGGCAAGGCGGGGGACTCTGTGATGGCGGAGGACGGTCACCGTGGGGTTTTAGCCGGTAAGAGTCCGGCACTACCCCGAGGCCCCCCTACTTGGGGCCTCGGGGTGTCCATGAGGATTTCCCCACGTACAAAAAAAAAAAAAAATACATTTAAATTTGTATTGTATACCAAATTATTACAATTTGTTCTAACTTTCTGTCACAGGTTCTATTAGTAGTAATTGCAACTGAAAGGGGCCAGTACCGTTGCAAGAAAATATATATGAGAAACAGTCATAATACATTCTTCAGAAGATGTAAGTATTGCTTTCTACATTCAAGTGGTATACACCACAAGACTAATTTTTATTACATTTCTTTCTGTTGTATGTCAGGCAGGGTATGAGTGGAAGGGGCATGTGTGTCTGTGTGTGTGTGTGTGAGTGTCGCGAAGAGCGACGCGATTCCGACGCGCGCGGCCAGGACTCGAGTTAATGTACGAGGCCCGTGCAAGAAGGATCCGTAAACCGAGTCACTGCGAAATATTAAAATAAACAAATTTATCGTTGTCTACTATAAAACTTGTCTTTTCTTTTATTTTCGTTCCTGTATGCTACATTTCTTTTTACAGATGAAAGCAAGACGTACAGCACGTTATTTCAAGAGGTGTGGTCCAGAGAAGGTATCATAACTGTAGGAATAAAATAATTGCTAGAGCGATCGATGAACTCGTATAAAAGTAGGCAAAGGTTTTGGGTGCTCACGCGTTTTTGTCCGGGACACTCATTGTTACGAGACGCTCCGAATAACAAAGCGCGCGTCAAAATATGACAAGTGAACGGCCGCAAGGATGAGTGTGAGAGAGAGAATGCGAGTGAGTGAGTGTGACAGAGTGAAGGTGCGATAACCCGCGAGCAGGTCGACAATAGTATATAAGCAGCGTAACAGCTGACGAAAACAAGAGTCTTCAAAAGAGTGTATATAGAGCGCGAACACGAGTTTCAGTTGTATCGATTACCGGCGAAATAAAATATTTTTATCACCACGTTCCTTATTTCTAAATCCCACATAACATAACCTTGATATAATCTTATGTATTATAATGTGCGTTCGATAAGTACTTTGTGTATCAGGCGTTCATTTATGTTAGGATAAGTGCATAACTTTCCTGTTCTGTTTGTGTTTTCCTAATAAAAAGCTGTATTAAATAAAATAAAAATAAAAATAAAATATGTATACGTATGCTATATTTGTCCTTTCTTTAAAATGTACATACTGAAGTCATGACGCGATTTAACCAGTACATATACAATATTAAATCAACAACGAAATTTATTTTTATTTTTTATTCCTTTTCTCAAACTTCATCAACATATTCGTAACACTTTTCTTATTAAAATGACACCAAATACAATATATGTACAATTCAGATCCTATTTACTAACGCAATAAGCGATCAAAGGCATGCATCGCTCAGGTCACTCCACATCGGCTGTATCGAAACACAGGCGATGTTTACGGGAGCCTATACAGAATCAGTATTTCATTCTGCGACCTCTGCCAAGAGAGGTAGAGGTTGGAATTAGAACACCGATATCGTATAGGCTACCGTAAACATCGCCTGTGTTTTGCCACAGCCGACCCGAAGCGAAAGAAACGATATCAAAGTCGACGATCCTCGAGCGCTCAGTCCCTCTTTGTCATATGCTCGCTGTTCTTTTCTACACTCGCCGCCTCCAGTAAGCGTCAACAAAGTATCAAGAATCGTTTCTCGTCCACGCTACAGCCGAGCATTGAGCCCCGAGAGCATCACTTCTATAGAGAAAATACTGTATTGCTTTTTACATTCAAGTGGTATAAACCACAAGAGTAATTTTTATTACATTGGTAATTATTCAGAAAAGGTGGGGGTCTCACCGAATTCGATGATTTTTGAATATGTTGTAAAAATCAACATTTTGAACAACTTCTTCCTATACATATAACCGCCGCTCGGCCTTAGTTTCCGAGATTTCTCTTCAAAAAGATCGCTGCTACTACATGAATTGTATCTATACGTAAGTACATGCTGTGGCAGCGTGTGTGTAAGCGTTCAATCGCCGATTGTTCATTGTTTCTATAGATGCATCGAGGCGGCCGACAATGGGTGTGCCTAACGGCAGCCGGCATAAAAACATCTAACCCTTATAAACCTAATTATTCTACCTAGTAACTAATATAATGGATTAGGTCTGGGTTAGATTTTCTTATACCGGCCGCCGTAAGGCGGTCGGCCACGTATTCATTTTCTATTTCAATTTTCTCTATTGATATTATCAGAAGTGGGAAACATTTCATTATTCGATCATTAAAATCATATTGTCGATGGAAGAAGAATTCAGCTAAATAGCCTACATAATGTATTTGGCGAGTTCCATACTTCGGAATATTCGAACCTTTGACAGCAATACAGAACTAGATTTAGCTTCACACATTATGCATTATTTCTTGTCACAAACAAGAGAAAAAATCGGCGATCGTGGACTGACGCATACAGAGTCACGGACATGTACATATAGACAAAATTCATTGCAGTAGCAGCAATCTTTTTGAAGAAAAATCTCGAAAAATAAGGCCAAGCGGTGGTTATATGTATAGGAAAAAGTTGTTCAAAATGTTGATTTTTACAACATATTCAAAAATCATCAAAATCGGTGAGACCTCCCCCTTTTCTAAATAATTGCCAAAATTTGTTACAAATAATGTATATGTATCGAAATAATTATAAAACTAAAAGTCGTATAATCATCATTATCTGGGAGCTGATCACGCTCAAAATCTAATCAGACCGTGAAACGAGAACATAAAACTGAAATGTAAAGTTTCATTGAAATTCATTCAGCCGTTTATATGTAATCCTGTTAATAGCATAGGAACAAAAAAAAAAGTCTTTTTTTTTAATAGTCACAATATGATCAGGGGGTCCTAAAACGTGTATTTCCGCTAAAAAAAAATTTCGACATTTTTTTTACATTATGATACTTCATAAATTTCCTTATACCTTACATACAGTCGGTCACGAAAATATTCGGACACCACTATAGTTTTGACTATTATATTCCGTACTTCAGAAATGTAAACAATGAGAACAAAAAAAGGTTTCATGTATGTTAATATGCAGCGTGTAGTTTACAAAAACGTAAGAAATATTTATTTATGATACGTGATTAGATAAATAATAAAAGAAAAACAGAAAGTACGTTCATTTTCATGTCACAGAAATATTCGGACACTATCAAAACTAAGTTTATATCACGATATATAAATCTTGTTTTTATTAATTAGTATTTTGTTGGATATCCCATATGTTGTATGACGTGCCGTAATCGCGTTGGCATGTTACAAATTATTTTTTTTAAATAATCTTGCCCAATACTCAGCCATTCTTCTTGCAAACGTCTTTTTAACTCTTCTTTTGTGTTTATGGGAGTTGTCCGAATTCGGCGATCTAATTCGTCCCATAAATTTTCAATGGGATTCAAGTCTGGCGATTGCGGTGGTGGATGGAGGATATTCTTGCAAGTGTATAATAAAAATTCTTGCACAATTCGCGATTTGTGCTTTGTGCTTTGGGTCATTATCTTGATAAAACTTTATCCCATTTTGAAGTCCCATATTATCAGCACTTTTCTTTAAATTATTCTGCAAAATCTGTAGATATCTATGTTTATCAAGGATATCGTCGATGAAAACTAATTCGCCTACTCCATGGGCCGAAATACAGCCCCACACCATCACAGACCCACCACCGTGCTTCACAGTCGGCTGCAAATGTCTCGGATTCAGTTCTTCTTTCGACTTCCGCCATACCCTAATTCTTCCGTCGCTTCCATAAATATTATATTTAGACTCGTCCGCGAAAATTACGTCCTCCCACCACTCACTGTACTCAACGAAATACAGCCGTAGAATCGAGGGCTGGGTTAGTAGTATATACCTGCTATCCCCACCACTCTGTTAGACGCTAAGGAAGTTCGCCGTTACTATTGTCGATTGGTCACACTGTTCGGAATGGTATATGGCAATAGCAAGCAGCTCCCTCTGATTTCTTTAGGCGGCAGCGTATCTGATGGTATTACCATTTCTGTGCAGAGAATATCTGCTGTAATACAGACCTGCCGAATCGGCGAGGTCACGTGCCGTGCCTACCCCCTTAAACACGGGGTGGTAGTGTATTAGTATGGGGTGGTATGAGTTCCTCTGGACTTGGAGAACTAGTTTTTATAGATGGTATTATGGATAAAGGGTATAGCCGAATAAGGGGGTCAAATGTGCCCCCAAACCGAATGGAACGAGCCACGGGTCATTCGATAGCAAAAAAAAAATAACCCCTGTGTGCAAATTTTTAACTTGAAATCTCGACCGTGGGTGTAGTAATGGGGTGAAAACGAAAATCATGTTTTTGAATTATTTCTCTTGACCTATTGAGTAAAAAAATGTAAAAAAATTCAGAGACATTTCGGGTACCGGGGCACATACTTTGGGAGATTTTCAGATTTTTTGATTGAAGAACCAGGTAGTGAAAAATAAAAAACAGCAAAAAATGCCGAAAAATGCCGATTACGTATTGAAGGAGGCCCGGAACTACTTTTATACTTTTACAGTAAACAGGTATTACTATTAATATTACTCTCAATTTTTTTCAGATTTTTCATTTTGGTGCGCCGCAGTGAAAAAAAATAAAAACCGAGTTTTTCCTCGTTTTCTGCGTATTAGAGTAACTTACACGTTGAATTTTTATGCATCCTTCAATATATAAGTGTTTTGTAGACTGTTTAATGTTTCTACACTAAGCAGAATTACATAACAATTGAAACAAATAAAATAAAGCCAACCGTTGAGCGCAATATATCCTAGAAAATCAACGATATTTTCAACGGCGTCGATGGCGTAGCGTTAGAGTGTCCGACTGTTGAACCGCTGGAAGTTTTTTTACCGTAGGTTCGAGTCTCTCTTCTGGACTTAGTATTTTTTTTTCTTCATTATTTTTTTTTTCAAATTCTAACTATATAACAATGCTTTATATTTATTTATAAATGTTCTGATAGCATTTTACAAATATTTTAACCTGAAATATGTATAAATATAGTCTTGAAGTGTTTTTTGCGTTTTTATTTTTTTTGTCAACCACGATTATTGTTTAACATCTCTTACACTGAAATTAATGTGAAATGTTAGTTTTCAAATCTCTTACCTTTGACTATTGTGAATGGATCGGAGCAGAAGATTGTATATTGGCTTACTATTACTTCTTCTCGCCCTTCGATCAAGCAGATCTTTCTTTCTCGTTCTCTTCCTTTGATAAATATGAATGTTTGCTGCGACTTCAGTATCTAACGTAGACATGTAACGGTTATTATCCTTTCCTTACTGCTGGTTTTAAAGATAATGGAAACACTTGTAGGACCAACCTCTACGGACCATGCCAAGTAATTATGTATAAATCCCATCGCATACAGTAGCTGAACTGAGTAATTAAAAAATACATTGTGAAACCCGAACGCGACAATCACCCATTGACCTGAACGGTCTGGGCCCTCACCCAACGAACCTTTATTTCCTTCGTAACGCAGGTAGGACAATTAATCATTTTTCCCCGTGGTTTCCATCGAGCAATGATACTTCATTCAAAAATAAGCATGAAACGATCAAACTGGTACTTAAAAATGGGTTTATTAGAAAAAAGTATCATTGGCAGAGAGTGGGTAATAGATTTGGCGTGGAATGGCCCTTACATGTCTACGTTAGATACTGAAGCCGTAGCAAACATCATATTTATCACAGAAAGAGAAAAGAAGGAAAGGTCTGCTTGATCGAAGGGCGAGAAGAAGTAATAGTAAGCCAATATACAATCTTCTGCTCCGATCCATTCACAATAGTCAAAGGTAAGAGATTTGAAAAACTAACATTTCCACATTAATTTCAGTGTAAGAGATGTTAAACAATAATCGTGGTTGACAAAAAAAATAAAAACGCAAAAAACACTTCATGACTATATTTATACATATTTCAGGTTAAAATATTTGTAAAATGCTATCAGAACATTTATAAATAAATATAAAGCATTGTTATATAGTTAGAATTTGAAAAAAAAAATAATGAAGAAAACAAA